CCATTAGCATGAAGCCGTTTACAGGTACATGTATATGAAAGTTGCCTTTTGCTGTTTTGCTGCTTCTGTAAGAAAAACTGTATAGACAGAAGTTGCTCTAGCAGTTAACAGGAGCAGGCTAGCTGACCCATCAGTGTGTTCATTTTGTGCACATTTGCACACTCAGCAAAGCAAAGAAACTAGAACAGGAATATGAGCTGGGTTCTGCTGGTTCTGTTGCAACTCAAATGGGATTTTATATCAGATGGAAGCCCAGCCTAGATTTCTGTAGAGGAGTATAAAGTATGCTTTATACTCTGCTGGCACACCTCTGCCAGGTAGGAGCTTCACAGCAGAAAGATGAAGCAGAGGGGGAGCTCACGCTTCCACAGCCTTCGGAAGCAGGCTGGGGGTCAGGTCTAAAATGTCAGGGCAGCAGTTGTGTCCAAGGAACAAAAGGGTGGGGAGGTTGAAATACAATGTGTGGGTTACGAGGAGATGTGGATCAGCAGAACCTGCTAGTTTCCGTGGGGCATACTCTGCCTTTGTGTTTCTGATGTAGAGGGCTCCCATTTTACTGTGGAGAAATGCATTTTTCACCCTTATCAACTGCATCCTAGGTCTCTGTTTTCAGAAAGGAAAAAAGTGTGTATGCTCCCCTATGGCCAGAGAGGAGCAAGAATGACCAAAAATGTACAGGAAAGATTGAAAGGTTTTTGGAATTATTTAGTCTGAAAAGTGATGGGTTTAGCCTTTACATGTTGCAAAAAGGAGAGAAACGGCTTTTCACAGGCATGATGGAAATGGCAAGAAATAATGGGCTTAAATTGTAGCAAGGAGCAGACATTCAGAAAAGCTTCAATGGTAAGGATAGATGAGCAATGGCCTCAGTAGGGAGGTTACAAATTCTGTCACTGGATTTTTTTTTTCTAAAGCATACTGTACTGATGTCTCTTGGAAATGCTGTATGTACTTCCTCTAATGTATAAGAAAGGACAATGTCTGTTAATGCTTTTTGCAGTTACTTCACGTTCCATCTTGTCATTTTTCTGCACTTTTATAGATGGGGAAGTAGGTATAGAGAAACTAGTTCTATCAAGCTAGGCTCCCTCCTTAAGAAATCTCCTGTATAAGACCTGTTCTGAACAGATGTACTTTCCAGATGTGAGCTTGAGTAAGGAATACCCTAAAAGAAAACCTGCTCAAGCAAAACCTACTCTGCCTGCTGAGAGTCTCCATTTCTTCTTTTAGGGCTTTTATTTTAGCAATATGTGTAGGATCTCTCAGCTTCATGAAAATGTGTACTGTGAATTTTAGTGTTACAGAATGGGTCTGAGAAGGAAAGGGAAGATGCCTCACCTTTGCCATCTGTCTTATGTCTGTAGTATTTTTAGGTAGCATCTAGCAACTTGTTTTAACCTCATCTACTGTATAGGAAGTTGCTTCTCCCCCCGCCTCCCTTATTGCATCTTCAAGGGTAGATTCTCTGCCACATACAGAGAAGTACAACCTTCCTAGGTTTCGGAAATTCTGTGCAGTATTTCAAACTAACATGCTTTCACACAAAGATATTGGCACGTTGCTTATTGCATCAACCCCCCAAAAGTACGTACTGATACTTTTTGGGTGGATTTTATAACAAACCTTGCTTGCAGCTTTGAAAACATTCCCCTACATCCAATGAAAAGCTAAAAATATCTATGAATAAGTTAACACCTGAAAATGTAGGTTTCTGTGCATGGCTTGCATAAACTGTGAAAGGAAATTTTTCATGATACTTGAATTTCATGCATAATCTCCCTAAGAAAAGGTTCCATCCCAGTGGCAACAAGTTTTAGGCTAAAATAAACATTTTTCTCTGCAAATTGCATGCAAAAGCTCTAATTTGAAATTACTAGACTGCAGTTCTCCCCCCCCCCCCCCCCCCCCCATTAGTCCCTCAATTCTCAAGTAGACTGCTGCCAGAAGATTTTCCAGCAAACAAGTGGTGGTTTTCCTTTGTACTTTCAGTGTGATTCCTGACTCAGTCTAATAGTGGTTGACATAACAAATGATGGTTTTTTTTCCCCTAGGTTTCTTAGTTAATCTCTGACTGAGGTAAAAAAATGAGCAAAATGATAGCACTTTAAAAAATGATTTAAAAAAAAAGTCATTAAAAAAGACACCAAACACACAAATTCAACCCCCAAACCCCAGGATTTAGTCCACTGTAAGAAAATGGGTGATTTTATTAATGCTCGTGGAATCATTTTACCAAAATGTAACATAAACTGAACCATGTTTAGATATTCTCTGCTTTTCCTCCATGGTAATTCATCATAATGTATTAATATATATCGCCTTTTCATACTATTAAGACTCCATACTGTGACTAATCTTATTCACTTTTACACTCCCTGAAGGAGCCATTACATTATACTCTGTGAAAGAGCCTTTTATAAATGTCTCCACAGGGCAGATTGACACAATATACCCTAATGGTATATTGGAAGGTGTCGTAGTGTGTCCTGGGGGTGATCTATTTAATAGCTTATTTATGCTATACACTGAGCTCACAAAATGATTTGTGCCAAGAATGTGTGAAGTGGCATTCCAAGGGTACATCAGAGCAAACTGAGCCATGATGTCCTTTGATGCAGTAAAACATCTATTTGGAAAATTCAGAGAAGTAGCTGGCCTGACAATTGACAGAAATGTGCTTGCAGAGAAGAGGTGGAAAGAGAAACTTCTGCATTCTTCATTTAGCTTGGACAATAATGATGAGAGCTATAAAACAGCATATGCTTCTCTGAATCCCCTGAGATTTGGTGTTAACAGCCCACCCGAGTATCTTTCTTAACTCTCTGCATAAGAACAGCCTAAGTGGAGAGTGTGCTGAAAGAGCCATTTGGTTGGAATATCTCCCTCCTATAAACCTTCTGTGGCTTTTTACAACTGAGCACATTTTAGCATAGTTATGAGACTGCTTTAATTTGTACCAGCCTACGTGTTGGCAGCAAAGTGATGTGAAATTAATAAAAGCCATCAAGCACCAGGAAATCATGAAACTGTTTCTTATTTTCCTATTTCTTGCAAATTGCTCTAGCCACCTTAATTCATTACACTTTTCATCAAAGTTCTATCCTCAGCTCAGTAAAACAGTCGTATTAGCACCGGTCAAAACTTCTGTATTATTGCAGATCTGGAATTCTCGATTCTTTGAAATCATGAGAATTTTGTTTACATGAGGTCCTTGCATGTTCATCTCCAGCCTGAGTCATATTAAAAAAATATTTGCAGGGCTCAAACAGGAAAAGGAGTTTTAAAACCCCCTACAGATTTCACTAATATGATAACTGTGCTTCATCCAAATTATTTCCTTCCATTAATCCCTCACCTCATTTCTATAGGTTTAATCAAAAATCAAGACTCATCTAAGCAAATTTGACTAGGTGTGTAAGCCACTCCAAAATCACGTCTTAATTTGGTTCTGTTGACATAACATCTGACCTCACTAAGGCAGATGGCAGTGCATGTCACTTTGGGCATGCTGAAAATATAATTATTTCTCTGATAATGTAGTAGCAAAGAAAAGGCAATGAATCAAATAGTGAAGTTTTAGGAAAGATAACCTGAACTTGGAAACTACTGTGCCTCGTGTGGTATTTTTGAGAACAAATCAAAATCTTCAGGGCATAATCACATTTTCCTGACGGCTCATACTTCATGGCATTCTTACAGCCATTTGCTGGAGTAAATGCTCTGCGCACACATAGCACACTGATTGTAGAATCAGTCTCTGAATAGTCATTGAAAGCTTTTGTCTGTTTACTGTTCCTGAGTGAAGTTCCTGTTTTTCTCTTCACTAGTTTTAGTTTCCAGAAGTTTTTTCTACAGAGTTTCGGAAGTTAGTTTCAGCCCAAGTTTGAGGTTTCAGTTCTGTTTACATCTTTATTCCAGTCTCTAATGAGGCTCCTAAATGGTTACATATTATGCATGTATTCATCTCATACATATATATGGAGTGGCTCTAAAAAAGTATTAAATAAAAATCGTAAAATAGGGAGAATTAGATTTTATTGCTCTCTGCAGCTGCCCAGTGGGAGGGTATAAAGAAGGTTCATCCAGACTCTTTTAAGTCTTCTTTAGTTCAGTTAAATGCCATTAGTCTAATATTTCTGGCTGAAAAGAAGTCTTAATAGGTGACTTCTAAGCACTGAACGTTATAGAAACTCTGCATCCATAACTCAAGTTCATACATAAAGTTATCCTGATTACAATATAAGCAGTCGTGTGAATTCTGTCCAGCTCTGTGGAGTAAGCTAAAAAACAGCTTTGCACTGACCATAGCTGCTTCCAGAAAGAAAACATGTAAATCTTGAGAAAGAGAAATATGGCTTTAAAATGTATTCCTTCATCTAGTCCTCCATCACTAAATTAAAGTTCAGTGGCTTGCTAGGAAAATGTTTTCTTTTTATGTGCTCCCATAAATTGTGCATTTCAATGCTGTGTGTATCTTTTTTTATTATGAGGGGGAAATAAAAAAATGAAATTAAATATTCAGCATAAGCAATATTTTGGTTCCTAAAAAATAGATTTTCCAGACACTTAGGCTGCATCAGGTCTGAAAGTGGAATATTGGAATGATTACGAGAGGTAAAACTCCAATATTATTAAAATTGTTTGTTTAACAAAGGGTACAAATGTATATTAAGACCACTGATTAAACTATGTTACATCATCTAGCAGAAACAAAGTGCTACAAGACAAGTAAATGTGCCTGCCCTGTGTGGTTCTTCCTCCTGATAACTTACCATGATTTTGAATAGTTTACTGGGTTGCAGCGTATGGCTTCATCATAATCCTTTTCATTGCAAATTTCATACCAAGGACTACCATTTGTTACAAGATACGCCATTCCCTTGCAGTTACTTGTTAACAATTTCAATGGGTCTAAATCAGAGAAGTAGATGTTTCTGTATAACTCATATTTGTATAACTAGCATACATCCTTATTGTTCTTCTTTGCAGGAGTTGAGAAATTGAATCCAGATGAAGCATAAATCATTCCTGACATCTGTACACAGCAAGTCCTTTAAGCTCAAATCGCAGGATGCTTGCTTTGAACTTTGGGTGACCAACTTCATCCTTCATTGTTTTGCTGCAATACAGATATATTCAGCACCAGGTATGTCTGTCTTGAAACTACCTGTCCTAGTCACTCTTACTAAGATAGTGGTTATAAGGCTATATTAGCAGGTCAGCAATGTGAGTGTCAGTGTCTAGAGGCAGATATTAATTCTGCTACTTTGAAGTACAGAAGGCAGAAATTCACACAGCATCCTGAAATTTTTCACCTAATGTATGCAGAAATGAGAACGAGGAGATGACAGTCTCAAAATGGTAGGGGAAAGAACTGAGCAGTATATTTGCTAAATGGAATGACTTGGTAACTGCACTGCTATTATGGTGTGAATGTAGCTTGAGACCTTGTTGCTTATTAAGGTTTTAAAGCTTTGTTGGTTGGGTTTTCTGCTGTATTCTTATAAATGCTTCCAATGGGAATTTAGCAGAGGAATAGAACCGATAACAAATTCTGAACGCTTCAGATCTGAACCTCAAGGAAATACACTTTGCTAGATGGTGTTTCGGCAGTTCAGTTCTACAAGCCTCGAGTGCTCTGACCTCATATTGACATCTGTGGCACCACCATTTACTAAGCACTCACAAAAATATGAATTATGTGTATGAAGCTGCAATCTTCAGTCTTATCTTCCTCTAACCTCACAATGTTTTTGTGCATAGCAGAACTCTATGAAGTGAAATGTCTATCAAATAATGTGCAAGTAGAATGCATTTTTAGTACTTAGGTCATGTTGCATCAGTAGCCTTGTTAAAACTGTTAATGATGACATACCTAGAAGTCATGTTTGGGGAATCAAATAGGTAAATGCGATGGGTGTTAACAACTCAGCAGGTATATCAATTTTTCTATAAGTCTGCTATTCAAAGGTGGTCAATGCCTTCTGCTGCTATTTATATTCATTTCAAAAGACTGCAAGTGCTTGGCTCTGTATAAAGCTAGGTCTTACTGAAGGCTGCTTCACCTCCACTGCTCCTGTGGAAAATCTGCAATATGGAATAACTGTATTTTGCGGAAAGTATTTCCTCACTAAATAAAGTATACATTTTAAACCAAAATTATTTGCAGGGGGAGAGGGAAACTTGCTGTAGACTTTTATAGCAAAACTTTGGGTTTGGTTGTTTTGGTTTGTTTTTTTTTCAACAAATGATAGAAGTTTGTTCTAGGTAGGCTTTTTTTTTTTTTTTTTCCCCTCACAGAAGTTTTTTGGTAATTCAAGGTGAAGAATAACTTTCTCTCAACCAGCTTTATCTTCACGCTATTAAATAAAAGCATGCCTTTGACTTCTGTGAATAACAGTAAATGAATAGCTTTTGGCTGCTGCAAACATTTCTGTGGATCCATCTTCTACTTCTGAAAACTGAGCTTTTGATAAGAGGATATAACTCTTCTTAATTATGGCAGACTATTGAAAAGAAAAAGATAAGATTCTTCTTGCACAGATTCTTTGCTGAAAATTAGGTGGCAGTCTTAAGTTTCATTGGGACTGACACTTTCTTCAGAACATTAACTAGGCTGACTAATATTCATTCTCTCTTTTTGTGCCCCCAAAATGTAAATGCAAGGCATAAAAGATCTTTTTCGCAGCTGACTCCAAATAGTTTATTGGAGCTGCTATAGTGCTAAAGATATGGTGGGACCCAGAAACTCTTATGGGAAATAAAATACAAGGTTTATTTTATTTTGTGGAGGATATTATTTTATTTTTTTTTTAGTATTTCATATATATTGTGCCCCTTGTGGTTTAGAATTTCCAAATCTGGGTAGGTGCATGTATTTTTGGATCATCTGATAGAATCTTGCCTTACAGTCTAATATATGTCTAATTAGACTTGGAGGCCACATCTGCTTCCTGCCCAGGGCATGATAACACTTGTGATAACTACTGTCTGCCACTTAATCACTGCAGCCTGATTCAGTTCAGTAAATGTTGCATTATCAGTCTTGACTCTCATTAGTGATGTCTTGTGATTTATTTCGCTTACTCTCACATACTATCAGGATTGCAGCAAAGAAGAGTATAGAATTTTCTGTGTGCAGTGATTTGTTCTAGAAGACTACTTTCCCATGACAGGTTGTACCAGCTGAATACTTACCAAAGCTCATCACCTTTTGGTAGCAAAACTATTAAACTTTGCTTTTTTCCTTCTTGTTCCCTGGTTCTACAAATTATAATTAAACTATTAATTATGGTAGCTATTTCAGTGTGACAAATTACGTTGACTATATGGCAAAGTCACTCAGTACCCTTGAGAAGTGCAGCCTTGGTTTAAAGATACTGCACTGAAAATGGAATGTTTAACAACAAGCTCCATCCCCTGGTGAAACTGCAGTTAAAAAGTACTTGCTTCACACAGCGCAGGGCCTATACATAACCTCTTCCTTCTCTTTATTCTTCTCACCTACCCTGTTTTGTGTCTTGATCAAGGTTTTGTAAACCATTCACACTAATGTCATCTTACAACTATTTAAAAGGCATAACTAAGAATCCTAATGTGAAGGTCAGTATACAGGGAAGTGACAGCCAGATGAAAATCAACACTATTGCACGGAAACAAACTAGAAGAAAAAGAAGTCATTTTCACACATGGGCAATTCCAGATTTTCATATTTGTTTTCTTTACCAACTTTCCAAAAATTTAGACAAGCCTTTTCTGTGTAAAAATAGTGAAATTGGTAAAAATGGCAAATTTAAAAATATTTGCTTTTAAAGGAATGAAAATTTTAAAAATAAAATTTTGTCTTTATTTTTCTAATTAGTTTTTGTTTTCTTTGAATGTTAAGGAGACAATGGCTTTACTTTTAAAATGACAACAAAAAAATACAGTTGTTACCAAAAATAGAAACAGATATTTTTTTAGTAATGTACAATTTCACTGCCAGTAGAAATTATGGTGTAGGTTTTTTTGTACCTTTAAAGGAGTTTATAGCTTCAGTATTGCCAGACAAATAATTTATTTTGCAGTAAAGATATTTCCTGCAAATCTTGTGTTACTTAATGTGTCCCAAGCCTGATAAACAAACTCCACAGAATTTTAAAGTAAGGAGAATGTTTAAAAGGCTGCTTGCTAGGAGCCCACACTCCACTTCTTCTGCCAATTGGCATTTATCACCTTAGTTTTACCACATTCTTTGTGGTACATTCAACCTCGACTCTCGAGTCACTTCTGGAAAGGCACTGGACCAAGACTCTTCCAAAAATTCAATTTTGTGTTCCAGTTCTGTTGTCCTTTGAGGTTCCAAGTATGGCTTTGAATCTCTTTGACTCCGTTCTCCATCAATAAAATTGGTTGAGTTTTCTTTACCTTTTTTAGAGGATTTTTCTTGGCTTGAGTAAATGCTCTCATTTTATTTCTGTTCTCCAAGTGTCTGCAATAAGAGTTTAAACTGAAGGAAGAATGAAGAAAGTGCTCTGTTTTAAAGGACAATTTTTTTTTAAGTGGTTCTGTTATTTCTGCCCCATTTAAAGTTCAATGAAACTGTTGAAGTAATTTGATTCTTCATCTGAAGACAAGCAGAGGCTCATACTTGGACAACACTATGTTATTCAGTATTGTTACTTTATTGAAAATGCTGATTATATGGAACTATCTTGTGCTAAATTCAGAGAGGATAAAGTCATCTCTTCATAAGTATGTAACAGAGCTCATAAATAAGGGAGTCTAAAAGACAGCTGCAGAATACCTTACATCTCAAATTTTATCTCTCTCTAGAATGCACCTAGTCCAACCACCCTGCTCAAAGCAAGGTCAACAAGAGCAGAGTGTTCAGGACTGTGTGCATGCAGGAGGTGAATATTTCCAAGGGTGGGGACTCCATAACCTCCCTAAGCAACTATTCTGATGTTTGACTAAACTCACAGCTTAACAACAGAATTCCGTGCATTTCAGTTTGTGCTCTTGTCCTTCAGGTGAGGCTGACTGGTCTGCAGTTACTTACCTCCTCCTCTTTGTCCTTCTTGCTTTTTTCCAGTCCTCAGGTATCTCCCCTGACCTCCACAGTCCCCTGTGTTTTCTCTTTAAATTCAGCAGCCAACTTCTGCTTGTGAGAATTTCTCCTTATAGATTAACATCCACTGACTACCCAGTCCATCATGCTGCCTCTTGATCTTCACTTTGAAATCATGAATTTCAGGAAAATTCATGGTTTTGGGAGCAAAAAGGGGTGGAGGAATCAATCCCAGAATATTACTCTTCTAGTTTCATGCTGCCAAATCTGGAAAAACTCCAACTGACTTCAGTGAAATGAAGTCTTTTTCTTTATGGTTCTGTTTTCTCCCTGAACAAGTTTGTCTGCCATAGTGTCAGTCTAAATTTAGATTTCTATCAGCAAAATCTGTTTTCTTCCTTTTGGGTGACATATTTCTGAATCTAGAACTCCTAAAGTTTTAAGGCTGGTTGCCTTAAGCCAAGATTGTCATTATAAGCGTAATAATGATTCATGGTCCCCCAGAAACCTCTAATAGAAACATCTGTCTGTTAATGAATTGTTTGGCTGGGTTGCAAACTTATCAGACGAGATATGAATCCTTTTGTGGTTTAGTTGAGTAATTAAGTTCTTTGTTCGCTGCACAGCTCTCACTTAGCTTGTGCACATCAGAAATCTGAGCAATGCCTTCAAGGAGGCAACTTCTCAAAGAATGAGTATCCTGCCAAGGTATGGCAGTGGGATGGAGTAGTTGACAAACCATGTCTAATACCTACATTAAAAAAAAAAAACCAAGTAGTTACACAAAACAGTTACATAAAAAGAAAGCAGAAAGGTTACTGTTAGGATGAATTAGTTAACTTGAAGCAGAGCATATGTGGATGAACAGAGTAACCTATTAATCCACTGCTTTAAGACACTGTGTGGTACACGCTATAGGCAGCCTTGAGCAATCTGAAGTTATGATATCATCTGATTTTCAGTGGCTTGTTTAGGGCCTTTTTTTTTTTTTTTTATCAACTGTAAGAATAGTGGGTTTTGTTTTCTTTTAGGTTACAATGAAGGTAGAATACTTTGTCTTGGCTTTAAGAGAAGAATTCCCAGAAATGGGCTGAATG